TTAGGATACATAACTTCATTTCCATATTAAGTAGATATGCTGCCTTTTTAGCTGTGGCTGAGTAATTAAAATCATTGTGAGGTGGAATAAATAGAACATATGCCCCAGGCAGTGGTATGGTAAAGTATGATTCATTTCCACACACGACCGCAACCTTTATGACTCAATTTTTGCCTATTTGTAACTGACTGATTATTTTAGTCAGTAGTGGAAGTAAGAATTGGTTGAATTGGATGATAAACCACTCATGGTTTTATGAGAATTTTCAGTTAGTAAATGCCTCTGTCAATATATATATTTTAAATTATGGAGAATGCATGTTGCACTAAAAGACTAGTACAAGATGAAGTGATACTGGTCTAAGGACTTGTCTACAGAGGGAAACTTTGCAACTGGTAATTGTAGTGGGAGTTCAGGTTTAAACAGGATTCTGCTCACATTTTAAGCAGGGATCTAATGCAGGATTTGGGATCCAATATGTCTCTGTTATCAGTACTTAGAGTCTCATAATGAAGTGTATAGATAACAGATTATGTTCACCAATATACGTCCCAGTTTAACTGAGCATTTTGTGCTTATGTACCATTGACTTAAGTTGGACTAAAATACTTGCATAAGTGTTTTTCTGTATTGGGCCCATAGAGTATAAGTAAATGTGCACAATTCTAATAAATTGCCAGTATGAACATGTCTGGCAGAAAATGTGATGAACTACAATTCATTTCTGGTAAAACTAATACTTTCCCTTAAGCTCATCTGCTCTAAATAGCAAATGTTGTCTCTAGCAAGTATTGTTTTTAGTGCAGTCTGAACAAATAGAGTAATCTCCGTATTTCAATCAAAAAAGTTGAAAAGACACAAAATCCATGGCATGGCTAGTACTTTAAAAACAAATCAATATTGGTATTTTTGCATACTTCTAAAATTTTATGCAGATTTAGCAAAACAACAGAATTATAGATTGCTACCAGAAGAATGTGACAGAATTCAGATGCTATTATGAAAGATACTGATAGTTGGCTTGTATGCACAAATGTTATTTTTAAGTAAGTCATGCAACCATTTTATAATACACTATATTTAAATCTTCAGAAATTGAAATATTGCAGATTATATAATATTCTACAACTGTGAGATTTTCATAATGTAACAGTTCTAATGCAGCATATTTTATTTGACAGTGTCTAATCAGTTTACTGCTATGTGAGTGAAGGACATAACAACAATGGGGCAATCATACTTGGAGCTCTCACCTGGCATTCAAGTAGATTATTGCATGGAAAACCTCTATGGTTGGCTTGATTATAATGTAGTTTAGCTCATCAATAATACAAATTGTAATTCTCTTCGCCCATAGCCACCCTATCCCACCTTCCCTTTCCAACATTTTCCAGAGCTATGGGCCCCCTTTTATTTGACCAGCTGACATTTTTATGTGTTTGGGATGTTTGTGTGTAAGAGTAAGACAAAAAGATTGTGTGAAACCTGTGAAAGTGGACTGTATTGCAGCCCTAAGTGATGTAGCTAGAGCAACCTAAATTTTAGGTGTAGACCAGGCCTTACTTTGCTTAATCCTAGAATTTCCTCTGGTAATAAGGGCCTGTCTATACTACAGCTTTTCCGTAAAAGGGATGCAAATAGACACAGCGCAATTGCAAATGAAGCGGGGATTTAAATCTTCCCCACTTCATTTGCATAAACATGGCTGCCACTTTTTTCCGGCTCGGGGCTTTGCCGGCAAAAAGCGCCAGTCTAGACGGAGATCTTTCGGAAAATAAAGCCTTTTCCAAAAGATCCCTTATTCCTGATTTTAAGAGGAATAAGGGATCTTTGGGAAAAGGCTTTATTTTCCGAAAGATCTCCGTCTAGACTGGCGCTTTTTGCCGGCAAAGCCCCGAGCCGGAAAAAAGTGGCAGCCATGTTTATGCAAATGAAGTGGGGAAGATTTAAATCCCCGCTTCATTTGCAATTGTGCTGTGTCTAATTTGCATCCCTTTTACGGAAAAGGGGTGCAATCTAGACACAGCCCTGTAGTGTAGATGTTTCCTACATCAATGGAAGAAAGATGTTTACATCAGTGTAAGTAATCCATTTATTTTATAGGTGATAGCTAAGTCAGGGGAAGAGTTCCATCATTGATCTAGCTGTCTCTACATTTGGGGTTAGGTCCACCTAAATACAGTGCTCATTATGAAATGTTTTTACAGCCCTGAAAAACTCAATCTAATTTTAAATTGTTAACTAGGCCTAAACTAAAGCCACTTCTGAATGTGAAACTATCCACACAGGAGAGTTAATGTTCTTTAACTTCACACTATTAGTAAATTGGTCTTTCCTCAGCACTCTTGTGAAGTCCTTAATGTAATAGAGCAACTTTAGAGTCTAATTGTCACCATTATAGCAAGGCTCTTTGTAGAGGGGTTTTATAAGTAAACATGTTTGGATCATTGTTTTATTTTTGTCTTTGGAATACACAGTTGCACTTATTTCATATTCTGAAAACTAAAAGATCTAGGTGTTTGGCTATCAATTTTATTGTGTTGTACAATTTTGTATGTTTCTCAACACTCTAATCAACCTCATCCTATAGCAATATCCTATTGTAATCAAAATAACCAGATCATCATCCTATTCTGTAGATGCATATATAAATATAATGTCTTTAGGAATACTTAGTGTTGTCATTGTAGAAGACAGGGCACCAGACTGGACAGGACTCTAGTTTGTTCCTCTATGGCAATTTTTTTATTCTGAGATATCAGAAATTATATATGTGTCACTGTTGAAATGTATTGTTGCTCATAGTTGAATTTATAAGGTTACTAATGGTCTTTAAAAGGTCATTTCTTTATATCTCTTTATTTACTTTTGAGATTCTATTCATAGGTTCACCTTGACAATGGTGGTTGGAAACTTCAGTGTCTTTGTATGCACAATGGAAGGCCTCTCTCAGTGGTGTTGATTGCAGAAGGCTGGTTTTCATAATCAGCTTTCTCAGAGGAATTCATTACCTTGAAACTTGTGACTAATAAGAGATGTTTTCAGCTTTTGAATTTCAACTAATTTCCATGAAGGATATATTACTAAGCAACAGATTCTGTGGAGTGTCTCGAGGGGCGAAAGACAGTAGATACAAGTAAAAGAAAAATCCAACACCAGAAGTAGCAGGGAAAAGAACTGATGAAATGACATCCTCGATAGAGCAATCAGACCTAACATCACAAACAACATATCTTTCCACGAGACTAGTACTGTACTGTGGAATGAACTGTTCCAGGAACTAAGGGCCATCACAAATATCATTACCTCTGTTCCAGAAGAAGATGCATTTCTTTGACCTTGCCTTTTCTAACATAAATCCATAGCAACATATACAATTTAAAAAAACCCTAAGGAAGCAAAGCTCTGTGTTGTGCACACAATTTTCCCCCAGAAGAAAGCTAACCATACATGCCACAAGTTAGTCTTATCACTTAATGAACTACTGGGAGGTACACGGATATTATGGCAATGAGGGGGATATAAGAATCTATATAGAATAAAACAGAATGTGGGAATGCTTGTTTCTTAGGGTACGTCTAGACTACATGCCTCTGTCGCCAGAGGCATGTAGATTAGGCTACCAGACATAGTAAAATGAAGCGGCGATTTAAATAATCGACGCTTCATTTAAATTTACATGGCTGCCGTGCTGAGCCGACAAACAGCTGATCAGCTGTTTGTCGGCTCAGCGCGATAGTCTAGACGCGCGGGTGTCGACATCAAAGGTATTTGTCGACCACACAGGTAAACCTCATCCCAGGAGGCATACCTGCGTGGTCGACAAATACCTTTGATGTCGACACCCGCACATCCAGACTATCGCGCTGAGCTGATCAGCTGTTTGTCGGCTCAGCGCAGCAGCCCTG